GCATTTATTTTTGCTCCATAGGCTCCTTAAATTATTATTATAGTCTTGGCTTCTTTTTTCCTGCCATTCTGATTGGGTATCCTTGGCTTCCCCATCTTCCATATCGGTGGTTTGATCCTCTTCTTTATCCACTCTATTGATTCCCTCTAATATACTCTTTTATCACAGATAATGTATTCTTCATTTCTGAATGGTTCTCTTTTATAATTTCCATTTCTATTTTTATGTTTTTTATCACTTTGTTAATGTTCTCACTGAGTTCATCTATACTTCTCTTCATTTCATCGAGCATCTTTATAATCAGTGTTTTGAACTCTGTATCTGTTAGATTGCTTGACTCCATTATTTCTGGATCTCTGTTTTGTTCTCATATGGTTTCTGCTTCTTTGCTTTCCCATTTTGGCTGCCTTTCTGTGTCTGTTTCTATGTACTAACTAAGCTGGCTCAGCAAGGAGTACTTGACTCGCTGAGAATATACCTGGATGTGGCTTGAGTGGGGCCGCCAGTTGGGGGTGGTGGGGTTTCAGGGAATCCTCTGGGTGGAGCGACCTCTGCTATCCAGTTTGATGATGTCATGGCTATGGTGGCGCTATGTCCTTGCACTGGGAGGAGGGAGGGCTCAACAGGGAACAATGGACACCACCGACACTTCTGTACAGAGCAAGTCTCTCCTCAGCCCTCACTCTGCCAACGTCTCCCTGTAAGTCCCTGGTGCCCTCTGCATGCAGCCGAATCGGCACTGGTGCTCAGAGCGAGCAGGTTTGTCCCCGTGAAAATCCGCTTGCGGATGCGGCCCCTTTAAGAGGCATCTGCCGCTGCTGCTGCTGCTGCTGCTGCCGCAGCCTCCATCTCACTCAGCTGTTCGAGACAGACAGCTCCACGTGCCGTTGCAGAGTGATTTCTTGGATTTCTCCTTAGTTGTATGGCTTGTTCATCAAGATCCCTGGTGATTTTTCCTTGCTGCTGCTCCTTGTTTTCGTCACAACTTTGATTTGGTCGTCAGAGGGACAAACAGAGCCTATTTTTTCCTCTCCCCTCTGCCCATTTTTATTTGAAGTTTTTTTTTGCTATTGAGTCATATGGGTTTTTTAAAAATATATTTTGTATATTAACCCCTTATCAGATATATGATTTATAAATATTTTTTCCCATTCTGTACGTTGCCTTTTTATCTTGATGGTTTTCTTTGCTGAGCAGAAACGTTTTAGTTTCATGTAGTCCCACTTGTATATTTTTGTTTTTGGTGACTTTACTTTTGATGTCAAATCCAAAAAAAATCATTGTCAAGACTAATGTCAAGGTGTTTTCTTCTAGGAGTTTTACAGTTTCAGGTCTTAAATGTAAGTCATTAATCCATTTCGAGTTGATTTTTGTGTATGGTGTAAAACAGGGTGTAGTTTTATGTGGCTGTCCAGTTTTTACAATACCATTTATTAAAGAGACTGTTTTCTCCCCATTGTATATTATTGCCTCCTTTGTCATAAATTAACTTACCATGGGTTTATTTCTGGGCTTTCTATTCCATTTCATTGATCTAAGTGTATGATTTTATGCCAATATCATATTGCTTTGATTACTATAGCTTTGTAATATAGTTTGATGTCAGGGAGTGTGATGCCTCCAGCTTTGTTCTTTCTTAAGATAGCTTTAGCTATTTGGGTCTTTTTTGGTTCTATACAAATTTTAGGATTGTTTGTTCTATTTCTGTGAAAAATGCCATCGGAATTTTAATAGGGATTACATTGACTCTGTAGATTTTTTTGGGTGGTAAGGACATTTTAATAATATTAATTTTTCCAGTCCATGAGCACAGAACATCTTTCCATTTATTTGTGTCTTCAATTCTTTCATCAGTTTCTTATGGTTTTCACTTTCTTGGTTAAATTTATTCCTACTTATTTTATTCTTTTTGATGCAATCGTAAATGATATCATTTTTTAAATTTCTCCTTATGATACTTTATTAGTGTATAAAATACAACAGATTTTTGTATATTGAAATTGTATCCTGAAACTTTACTGAATTTATTAGTTCTAACAGTTTTTTTTTTTGTAAAGTCTTTAGCGTTTTCTATATATATTATCATGTCATCTGCAAACAATGACAGTTTTACTTCTTCCTTTCCAATTTGGATGCTTTTTATTTCTTTTTCTTGCCTAATTGCTGTGGCTAGGACTTCCAATACTACGTTGAATAAAAGTGGTGAAAGTGGACACCCTTGTCTTATTCCTAATCTTAGAGGAAAAGCTTTCAGCTTTTTACTGTTGAGTACGATGTTAAGCTGTGGTCTGTCATTTTCTTGAATAAACACTTCCCATATTGCTGTAAGTCTTTGGTTAACTTCTTGAGTTCTAAAAAAGTCGATTCTGAAAATTTTTTTTTACCAGTTTTCTCATTGCTTTTATGGAGGAAAGAGTTTTCTGAGGTCTTTACTCTGCCATTTTCACTGATATCACCTGTAATATATTTGAAATGCCTTTCTATGTTAATGGCTTCTCACATCTCAAAACTTATCAAGGGTCTCCTCCATTGTGAAGTCTTCTTTGGGTTATCCGGGAAAAGAAGTCAGCTCTCTCCTTATTCGCCTATACCTCTGTGTCCATGCCTCCGTTCCTTCATTTTTCAAAAATAACAATTATTTATATCTGTTCTTGTCTCTCCTCCCAGCTTTCAAGCTCCTAGCTTGTGACTTATTCATTCTCCACGTCCAGACTATTTCCTGACACACAGTAAGTATTCAGATTTATAGGCTGAAGAGTATTGTCATAGGAGATCTCAGAGCCTAACCAGGGGTTTCTCAGCTCCAGCCTTGATTTCTTTCCTCTTGCTTCTATGATTCATGGGAGACTTCTGTCTCTTTGTCATATTGTGTGTAGAGAGCTCTGTGTGATAACCATAAGCTCAGAGTTGACACACTGAGTATATGAAGAAAATAGGGAGCAAAAGTAAAAATAAAGCATGTATGGGTAAGATTCAATAATAGTAGTAGTAATAGTAATAATAATAGTAATATAATAGCTAATATTTACTGAGTAGAGTCTGTGCTAGATGCCAGACTAAAAAATTTATTTTTTAAAAAATCTTTCCTTATTTATTTTTAAAAATTAATTTATTTTTCAGTTACAGTTGATGTACAATATTATATTAGTTTCAGGTGCACAACATAGTGATTAGACATTTATATATTTTATGAAGTGATCATCCCAAGACTAAAGCTTCATATTCAATATCTCATTTAATTCCAACATCAACTCTATCTATGAGATAGGTACTATTATCCTAACTTTACAGGTGAAGCTGGATAAGGGAAGTGACAGAACTAGGGCTGGGTGAAGGTCTGACTCCAAAGCCCATATTCTTAAACTATCCTGTTTGAGGGATCTATGAGAGATGTTTAGAGAAGGAGGAGCCACGCTGGCCTTTCCTTTCCTGGGACCTGCTCTGCCTCCTCAACTAAAGAGATGTGGCTCCTGGGTGTGTTCAGCCCGTCCTGGGCTCAGCTAGGCCACCTGTATTTTGAAGCAGCATAGCATTAAGGGGCCCCTAGGGCAGCTGGGCCAAGAGGCCCTATTTTCCCGGCACTGAGGTGACAGGTGCAGCCCTGAAGAGAGAGTGACAAAGATCACTAATCATCATCTCAATTCCAACATGGTGACTGCCTGGAAAGCCAACTCACATAGCGGCTAGATATAATCCAGAGGGCTCAAAAACATTTCAACAAATGCTAATATCAGTCTCTCTAATAT